TTTTAATGTTGACATGATCCCTAAGGTTTTCCCCTTTTTCTTTTGACTATCTACTTCATGGAAACAAAACCTTCCATAATTTGTGATGTTCTAAATCGTTCTTTGGAGCAGTTTATTATGGCAAATGGTGCTCTTGTGCGGGTGCTAATTCATACCGATGTTACGAAATATTTATACTTTAAAGCAGTTGATGGCAGCTTTGTGTATAACAAAGGAAAGGTATAGTTGTTTTTCATGGATATAGTCTTTCACCTGATTGGTGCAATTGCGACATGTTGAATTTTAGAAATTTTTTGGATAACTTTGTTCTAACTTAGAATACTGTTACACCTGATGAAATAGGTCCACAAGGTGCCAGCTACTGATATGGAGGCACTTAAATCTCCTCTGATGGGCATTTTTGAGAAGCGGCGTGCTCGGAAATTCTTTATTTATGTTCAGGATTATAATGAAAGTGATCCTAAAACACATGAAGGGATGGATCTAACTAGAGTTACCACAAGAGAGCTTATTGCGTATGCTCTTAATCTTTAGCTTTCTATTTGGTGTTCAGTTTCCATAGGTTAATTTAGATGCATTTTCATATAATATTAATTCCTGGTCTGATTTTCTTGTGTACCTATTATCATACTTATTAACATGTTCGATTGAGGGGCATCTGCAAAAGAATTAGTCTTGCTTATAGTTATGTGATAATTTTACAGAAAATACGGTCTTGATGACAACACTGTGGACTTCATTGGTCATGCATTGGCACTGCATAGAGATGACCGCTACTTAGATGAACCAGCACAGGATACTGTGAAAAGAATGAAGGTGAAACACATTCTTTTGCTTTTGAATTCTCCTGCTAATGTTGTTCAAGGTTTCTGTGTGGATATGTGAAGTTTTTGTTCTCTATAATATGACAGCTATATGCTGAGTCTCTTGCTCGTTTCCAAGGAGGATCACCATATATTTATCCTTTGTATGGATTAGGAGAGCTCCCCCAGGTACTACTTTGAGTTCATCATTAGATTTCTTGTCTTCTTTTAGTGATTTTTTAGTTTCCCTCGTGTTAATATTTTGTACTTTCCAACTTCTTGTTCTTTAATATTACTGTTGTTAATATCTGTTCTGCTAACATAGGCATTTGCTCGACTGAGTGCTGTGTATGGTGGGACCTACATGTTGAATAAACCTGAATGCAAGGTAGTATCTCCACTCTGTTTCCGTTCTGTATCTTTTTGCCAAAAGAAAATATATATATATATATATATATATATATATATATATATATATGATTATGAGTCCTCTGAAGATGCTATCTTAAAATGCCAGGTAGAGTTTGATGAAGAAGGAAAGGTCTGTGGTGTTACTTCAGAAGGGGAAACTGCAAAATGCAAGAAAGTTGTATGCGATCCTTCCTACTTGCCCAACAAGGTAAGTGTTTTACTACCTGTATGCTTAAATGCTCAGTTGCCGATAATTTGAATAGGTTTCTGGATCTGTAACAGTCAGCATGATCTTTCTTTGAGTGTAAATAAGGATAGATCATTGATACATGATATCCTAGAACTAGATTTTAGTTGGTTATAAGTGAAAGTAGAAAACTTTTTGTTGTGAGGATAAGTGACCTGTTTATTTAAGTGGTCGGATAAGTTACTAACTACAAGGCATGCTGCTATTTGCAGGCGAGGAAGGTTGGCAAAGTTGCAAGAGCTATCGCGATTATGAGCCACCCAATTCCAAATACCAACGACTCTCACTCTGTGCAGATTATCCTACCTCAGAAGCAGTTGGGTCGCAAATCAGACATGTAAGTATCCTAGCATGTTAGATATTAAAATTTTACTTATATTCTCAGGGTTGAGCTGGAAATTACATATCATTTGCAAATAGAGTTTGTGTTGGCCTTTGAAAGCCTGCTCATTTGTTCAATTAAACATGCATATGTGGCAACTTGATTCTTACTTGGGTAGTGAAAAACATTTTTTCGTGAAAGCCTGTTCAATGGCGTTGTGTTCATTTAATAAAAGATCGTTTGTTTCACAATTTGCACAAATAGAACTATCTTTTTATATTTCATTTAATTATTTTTCCTTATTTTGCGCAATCTCACATTTTCAAAAATGCCCCTCCCTCGTTCAAGATTCGCTTGGAGGCAGCAAAAATTCTATATGTAGCACTTTTAGTTCTCTGCACTACCTCTGATTCTGTTGGTGGGGGCGGTGGGGTGTTGTTGTGGCACTTGACATGTGTTTTTAAATAAGTTCAAGCTGTGTCTCAGTCTTTTAGATGGGTTGGTTTCACAATTGGTAAACTTTTGTATGGAGTATGCCAACCGGACTGTTATTTGAAGACGTTGGCCTAGTTAATTAATTTTGTACTGGGTTTTGAGGGCTGGGTGCTTTCCTTGAAAGGCTTGGTGCAATGCTGTCGCTCGATTCAGACTTGTTTTTGCCGAAAACTCTTAGAATTTAGAACTAAGTCGTCTTACTTATGCTTGAACATTTGGTTCTTCAGGTACCTGTTCTGCTGTTCTTACACTCATAATGTTGCTCCAAAGGGGAAATTCATCGCATTTGTCTCAACAGAGGCAGAAACTGATAACCCAGAGAGTGAACTGAAGCAGGGCGTCAATCTTCTAGGGCCAGTGGATGAGATCTTTTATGAAACTTATGACAGATCTGAACCTGTCAATGAGCCCTCCTTGGACAATTGTTTTATTTCAACTGTGAGTCTCTTAAATTTTACTTTGAAAATCATACTTATTCAGAAAGATAATCTATCATCAATTTACTTTATTCTCTATTTTGAACAGAGCTATGATGCCACAACTCACTTTGAGTCGACTGTAGATGATGTGCTCAATTTGTACACCAAAATAACTGGAAAGGTATGATTTTGTATTTACCTCAGTTTGGTCTTTCCACTACATACTCCGGAGATTACTAGGACGGATCTTATTGTCATTGCCGACAGCTTCTGTTTTGCCTACAAACCCTTGAAACTTTGAATTTCCAAAATACTAGTTTATACTTGTGAAACGTGGCTTAAACATTTTACCATTTTACTGCCTGAACACGCACTGTCTGAGAAGTATGTTTTGCTATTATTAGATGTTACATTGCAAACTTTTACTTCCTTCAACAATTTTTTTGTGATATTACATTTTAGTTTTTTCTGAGTTTTGCTGTTCTCTCTAAGAGCCTTGAGGTACCTCTGAGTAAGTCCTTTTACTGTTGAAAAGAATACCTTTAGAAGGAAGGAGTAAATGGAAAGAAGAAAAGAATACTATTTTCATAAAGTAGACACTCATTTTGCACATCCAGACAAGGAACAAGTTGCTCTGTCCCAAAAACGCTTGTGCCTTTGAGACAGAGGGAGGGGATGGCAGCTACAGTTTAGTGTCTGGTGTGGCTTTGGTTGTTTGGCACTTGTTTAATCAAGGAAAGAGACCAAAGTTGAATCAGTTGAGTTGGGCAGGTTTTGTAGAATATCTGTGTTCATTATTCTCTGTGTTGGAAAGTTAAAGGTCTGGATGAACATTGACATTAAATCCCTCTTCTTGGTGATAGAGGGGTATATTCACAAACAGCTGATAAGCGAAGGGCCTTATAAGGACGTAACTTAACTATTTAAATCACATCAAAATGTCGTTTTCTTTCCTTTTCTTTATCAATATGAGCAACATACTTACTTTGGTGTTGGTGTATGATAATCACTTTAGTTCATAAAAGTACATTTGATGCTCTACTAATTTGTCATAGTATCTACATTTTTGTTGCAAGAGTCTTCTTGTGTCCTCCAGTTTTTGTGAGGAGAAA